GCTTCATTTGGTACAAGACGGGTGACTGAGACGAATATGAATTGCTGTCAGGAGGCCATCTAACACCTGTCGAGGTACAACAATGCACTCGCGAGGTGGAGCGAATGGATCAGTACGCTTGACTACAAGTAGACCATCTTTGGCAATAGTGACGATGTTGAGGTAGCGTTTGACGTCTTTGATGTTAGTTAGCTTTTTAGATGGACGAGTCCCCTGGGTGAGATGAGAATGTGTGCGTCTTAAATCAGCGCATTCCAACTGGATAGTTTGCCACGCTGCCCTATTGGTGAATGGTAGGCGTTTATTTCCTGATGATATGTCTTCAACGGATGTGTTCATGACAACCGAGTCTTCCACACGTTCTACAAACGAACATATCTGACAGGTAGGGGTGGTACACTCTGCGGCATTGCGGCTGGCAAAGTCTGATGGAATATTGTCCTTGCCCGCCAGATGGCGCACGTTGGCCTGGTAACGACTAACAGAAGAGAGGAATGTTGTTATGCGTGGGCTTGCACACATGGCTTACTGTCGGTAAGAATACACGGTTTATGGTGGGACTGAATGATGTATGGCCCAAAGTGCCTTGTTGCGGTGGCAATAGAAAGAGCCTCAAATTCACATGGAAGCCATGTTGCCTGACGGCCTCGAAGCTTGGCACTGAAGAAACCTGCGAGGTGGAGCTTGTCACCACGCGAGACATACATGGTGGACCCAACACTGTGTTTTTTAATTGCTGCATCAGTGACGATCCATATCTGATCTGTGCGTCTGGGGAGTGTGATCGTGTGATTTGATGATAATGCTGCCTGAGCAACACGAAAGGAATCACGAAGCTCATCCGACCATTGAATTTTATCTTGGGATTGTTGTCCAATAGTCGCATCTTCTAGTGGAGCAACAAGAGAAGCACAGCCTGGAAGCACTCTAGCTAGGACCTTATATGCGCCTATAAATGATCGTAGGTTGCGTATCTTTTCCGGTGGAGAACATGACGACAACGTAGAGATACGGTGTTGGCTTGCGCGGATGGTTCCCTCATTCCATACCCAACCGAGAATTGTGACTGTTGCCGGGCAGATGACAGTTTTCGATGGTGACAGTCTTAAGTCATTGGCTGCTAACTT